TACGTGGGATATCCGGAAAGTAAAGATACAAGTCCAGTAACATGAAAGGCACATTTTTTCTTCAGAAATAGCAGTGATAACTCCTCACCGTAAAAAAAAATGTTACGAAAATAAATACAAAGCCTCGGACCTGGACGAATTCCTTGGATTAGCTCAGGATAGGGACCAGCGTAGGGCTCGTTTGAACACTGTAATGAACCTTCGGGTTCCATAATACTCGTATGTTGGGAAATTCTGCAGTAGCTGCAGAATTGGCAGCTCCTCCAGAAGGGCTCAGCTCCATGAGTAAGTAATGGCAGTGCTGCCATGTGACAGAGGAACCGTAAGACAGGGCTGAGTTTACCGGCCACAGTCACGGCAACGTTATGCTGGCAGTGTGTTTAAAAATGGCTGTGTCAATTCAAGATTCAGCCACAAGTGAGGTTCGTGCAGTAATTCGATTTCTTTACGCGAAAGGAGAAACTTCTGCTGAAGTTCATCGCGATCTTGTTTCTGCCTACGGCGAAGATGTTATGAACACGCAAAACGTGACAAAATGGGGTCATGAAGTTGAAGCGGGAAGAAGTGATGTTCATGGTGAAGGCCATCCGTTGTCACTGATGAAAACATTCCTGCTGCCAGATGTTCAACCATCGATGAACTTCATCAACAATACCCAGAAGTGTAAAGAACTGACCTCCATGTCTAGGAGAGCAGTCGGAAGATTTCTATGACGCTGGAATAAAAAAAAACTCGTTCCCAGACTTACTAAGTGCATTGCGATCCATAATGACCATGTTGAAAAGTATTTTTGTTTTAATTCGATTAGTGGGGGTCGAGTCCTACTGGGTCCACTCAATACGGCGGCCACTGATTGGCCTAATGTAGCCAGCCCCGGGTGATTATGATGATGGGAGAATTTGGTGGAATGAAGACTGGCAGGGGAAACCGAAGTACTCGGAAAAATCTCGCCCCAGCGCCACTTTGTCCACCATAAATACCACTTGACCAGACCCGGGCCGCCACAGTGGGAAGCCAGCGACTAACCGCTTCAGCTTTGGCGTTGCCATGTTGAAAAGTAAATAAGTGTGTGTTGTAAAAGTGCTACAAGTGAATCCCCCCCACCTCCCCAAAAATCTTTACAAATATTTTCTGGACTTTGTATCTTTACTTTCCGGATATTAACTATATTAAGACCATCAAGAAACATTCAGTAACATAAAGAAAAATCATCACCTAGCAGTCAGGGTGTTGGGCTATTTCTTGACCTTTTGCAGTCTCACTTGTTCAGCACTCTTCAAATGTCCTTCTCGGTTCCTTCAACCATGTAGACTGTACATATCTCACCAAGAATATCCTGGGTTGTGACACTGCATAATTTACCGAAGTTTCTGAAGAACGTACTGGCTCCATCTATATGGTCAAAATGTGCCTCTGAGATATCAGTAAGCTTCAGACTATACGGTGTCATCACATCCCTCAACATTCCAGTCTTCCTCTCCTCCACTGATCCCTTACTCTTGCAATGCTGTTATAAATTTAATTCTGGCTTCTTCTTCCTTACCCCAAATTCAATGACTGAATAATTCTTACATGTAAAGAATCTGGAGTCATTCATTTTGAAGGGTGGCGAAGGTTTAAATGGTTTCCTGATATATTTCCATATATAGTAAAATACACATTTTTAATTATTAACATAACAGAAGCAGTTCATAAGCTCTCATGTTAGCTTTTGTTTTCCCACAGGGAGTTATGAGCAAGTGGGTGTAGCAGAAACTTGTATCTGGGGGATTCCAGGACATTGGCTATCCTGAGTCCTCGTGGTTTTCATCAGTCCTTCTAGGCAAATTGAAAGACACTATCTTAATTAGGTGACATCAGCCTCCTTCCACGTCCATTCCAGTTTAGGTTGGTTTCTTGCCTGGCTTACCCTTTGACCCGGAAGACAGAGATGATGTGTTCTTCGAAAACGTCAAGCTACATCCGAACAACACAGGGTTATGACCCAGAAGACCATGCTCGTCACCGTTACGGTCATTACAGCATAAAATCTAGGATAATGCTTCCCCAAAAACTGTTCGATGTTTCTTATCTCATGACACAGTAAAGTTTCAGTTGGGTAATGCTTGTTACCATTCAGTTCAGAATCTTCTTCCTTCTTGTCTGCTGTCTACAAATGTAAAGATGAAAATATTTTCATGTATTTCGGGGTGTAACTACAGATGGTGTATGGACTGGATATTCGATTTATTGCCCACTTATTTTCACCACTTGGAACTAAACTTCACAGTCCATTGTTAGACATACACATTAGTGTTCTCAGTCTGTTACAGTCTCCGATGGTCGTTGCCTGGTAATGAATCCTAGCAATGGAGATTCTTCAGCTTCCCGTGCTCACATCGTTACTGTCCGGTGAATATCCCTGCAACTGAATTCTTTGTTGACTGTCAACAACTATAGTGCCATCCCTTCTCAGCCTCCCTTGCAAAGCTCGACTCCACTGCCAACCCTCAACTGAACTCTCTCACTTCCACTAAAAAAGACTCAGCTGGCTTGGGGCACTCACTCTATACAGTTTTAGGGTAAACCCAACAGAAACACCCCCGTTTATATTGTAACTGTATTGTTGTATGTGTCTCATTTCCATGGGAGCGCATTTACCGAACTGTTACCAAGCAATGCAGGTTTATGGCATAGCAACAGTACTACATGTTACAATATACAAACTACAATTCTGCCTGTACTTTTGTGTGGGGGTAAAACTTGGTGTGTCACATTAAAGGAAAGGAACAGATGGAGGGTGTTTGAGAACAGGGCACTGAGGAAAATAGTTCGACCTAAATAGGATAAAATAACAGAAGGGCACAGAGACTTTCAATTTGTTACCCTTGCCATACATTGTTAAAATGGTGAAATCAAGGAGGGTGAGATGAACAGACCATGTAGCAAGCAAAAGAGAGAAACGAAATAATGCATACAAAGCTTCAGTTGGAAGACCTAGATGTATATGGAAGGATATTAAAATGGGTCTTCAAGTAATAGGGTGTGAATTAAACTCATCTGGCTCAGGATAGGGAACAGTGGTGGGGTCTTTTGAAAATAGTAATGAATTGTTGGGTTCTATAAAATGCTGGGAATTTCTTGAGAGGCTGCACAACTACTGGCTTCTCAAAAGGACTCTACTTCATGAAGCTAGTATATTTATGTAATATCCTTATTTTATAGAACCTTTAAAACAAAATTAATTTATCATATCACATGTTTCTATTATTTAATGTCACGTTTGCTTAATTATCTCTGTAACTTCTGGTATTTTGTAATGGCTTAAATGTTCTGTATTACATTTATAATGGGTAATGTTTACTTTAAATTGAAATAATAAACCTCAGCTTTCAGGTTAGGTTTGCTTGAACAACTTACACCATAACGATTTCTGCAACCCCTCACATGAATTGCTTATTACAGAGAGTGCTTCCATTTCGGCAATCTCTGTCCATCCACAACAGATTCAGTCTCACCAAAATGTCATTCACGCTGAATGGTGCACTCAGAAGTTCTTCTTTGAATGCACGTGTGAATTAATGAAGATGTCTTTTTGGTTATAATGGAACATATCAGGAATAGGTGAGAGACCGCATTACTGAACACTGCCAATATACAATCAAAATCAAGGTAATAGATAATAAAAAATGGAGATACAATTTTTAAACTGTGACTATTCTAATATACATGACTCAAAGTCAACATCTCATAGTTATTTCAATATTGAACTAACTAGATTTTTGTACCTTATAAGAAAGAATATAAGAAGCACTTATTTACCAGGGAAAATGTCTAACGTGAAAGGGGGGAAAAAAAACATTTATCTGCATGTTAAACTTTGTCCTTATTTAGTATCTGAAAAACAAGAGGCCATTTAATATGATCACAAATGAAACAAAATTCTTCACAAAGACAAATTTCTACATTACAAACAATATAACTATTACAGTTAAAACTACCTATTTTTAATTAATTAAGCACTACACCATGAAGACAATTGAAGGAGTGGAGGTATAGCTCCACCATTCTTAACCTTTGCATTAAATTGAGGAGTTATCAGCTTCCTGCCCCTGCTTCTTTACCCCCAGTACCCATTAGATAGAAGGCCAGGTGTGTCCAAGAGCTGGTGTGGCAGGTATGGAGAGAAAAGTCGTGCCACTGCTCGTAATTGAATCCCAGCTCCCCAGTCATCCAGCCCAAAGCCTGGTCGCTAGACTGACTGAGCTACCCCAGCTTACAAATGTTTCACTGCAGGAAAAGCATATTTTGTTTTGTGCAAGCTTGCTGTATGGCATTACAGAATAGCTGTACTAAAGAATGAAATGGGTAGTAGGGGTTAACATTTGGCTGTCTGCTCCCCCACCCTACCTACAATGTACGAATCTCATCAATCAACTGCTCAAGTTTCTTGACGGCTCAGAGATCACTTACGGTCACGGTGAAAGGGCTGGTCAAGGCCTACCCCTTAATCATTAATTCATTCCTCCAGGGCTTAAGAAAATAATAAAATAAAAATGAAGAATGCAAAGATAGAAGAGAACTGGGTAAGAGGGTGCTGCAGGTGACAGTTATTGGTGGAAGTGGATGAAGGAACACTGTCAGGATGTGGCTGATAGGGAGAAGGGGGGTGGAAAATCTGTGATCATTCTTTGCATTACCAGAAAGTAAACACTCAGCAAAAAATGCAGTACTACTTAAAACTTTCCTTCTCAAAGTAAGTTTTGAGAAGGAAGGACACTTTTGTTTGGACAAATTTGATTATAATCTTTTACTAAAGTAACATACCTTTCTGCCCAGATTACCCTCTGTCTGTCCCAATATCTTCAATGGAAATATTTTATAATTTAAGTCTTAAGTCAGTCTCCTTGCGGATCCTTCCTCTGGTAAGCACTTACATATCTTAAACACATAATTTATACACAGGTTTAACTATAATATATTGTGGGATAATTATGAATGTTTAGAACAAATAACAGAGAAAATGGAACATACAATGAATTGTCTTCCACGATGAAAGTCACATATTCATACACACAAATATATAATCTTACTTTACAGAACAGGATTAATCAGTTCAGTCTTATATCAATTCTAGAACATATGAAATATGACTACAAGTGCATTTGTGACAGAACAATATAAAAGTACAATTGATATCCACTGTGAACTGTCTATATTTAACATAAGCACAAAATGTTCACAGTACAGCCTGCTTGTAACAAATACACCAAAATAGGAAATAAATATTAACAACAACGAAGGGAAAAAATCTATTCAAACACACTCAGTATTTTGTTTTTATTTAAGGTGTAAAAATTTAATCTAATTATTGCATTTGGTGTACTGATGATCACACTGTACTGTTTTCGCATGACTATTCGGTGATACAAAAACACATCCAATGATATGTAAATATACTGATAAAAATAACACTTTTTTAACACCAGCACTTACTCCCGTTCCTTAGCTTCAGTTTATTTTATTGATCACAATTAAAAGATTGTTCTGCAAGGCTTTTAATCTTTGGTTTGTTTCTCAGAAATCCATCTTGACAGAAGAACCACCTGCCAAAAACACACAATCAATAATCCCTCCAGAATATCACAAATTTGTTTTCAGAATGACTATAAAAAGTCCTTGTTTTATAAATGTTTAGGTAAAAAGGTAAAGTAGTCCCTCTGCTTAATTAGTTAAGTACTATACTATGAAGACATATCAGGCAATGGAGGTACAGCTCCAACATTTCTTACCTTGGCACTAGATTGAGGTGAGTGGTCAGCTTCGCACACCAGCTGCTTTACCCCCTGGTACCCATTGGATAGGAAGCTAGATGGGCCCCAGGGCCAGGGCGAATGATATGGGGAAGATAAATATCTTGCCCCTGCTGAGAATCGAAACCCAGCCATTGAGCCTGTAGCCCACAGCCATACTGACTAAGTTACCCTGACCCCTAATTGAGTGTGTGTGTGTGTGTGTTGGAAGGGACTGTGAGCTGGGATGGTAACATATGCATGTTAAATGAATATTAACAAACTTTCAGATTTTAATACATCTAAAATATCATCCATTTTTCGGTATGCATGATGAAGTTTTACGGTGAAAACGTGCCAAGCCACATATATGTTTCCAGCCTTGCCCACAATCACTTCCACCATTCACCAGTACTACGCTGTTTGTTCTGTGTACTCACTGCATTAGGCTTTTATGCATGTTTCAGCTCAACGTCGAAGAAACTGCGTTTTCTTTTCCAATTTTTGTTCCCTTTTCCTTTACTCTGATGTTTACTTTAATTGGTACTGTTCATTACAATAAATACATAAATAAATATAAAAATAAACACATATATAAACTTTTTAGCTCTTAAGGTATTCTTTCTAAAGTATAAAATAATGCCTTATGTGGAGGTTAAGTCTGTCTATGTTTATGGGCCTGAACTATTGGAGAGATTTTCTTGAATTTTTGATACTGGAAACTTACAATTTGTTAAGCAATTCTAATTATCAGTCATATTGATTCATAATAAAGCCTACTTTACACAAGACTACAAATGGAATCTCCCCTGGATGCCAGAAACTTAATATATACTTCAATGATATTCAATATGGGAGACCTGAACTAAAAATAGTCTGTAGTTAATAAGTTCTTCCAGAATGATGACTATGATGATGATGATATTGACAACAAAGATGATAACACAACAACACAAATATAACAGTCTGTAACATATGTACAGTTGAAAGCAGTAACAAGAAATGTGACCAAAGTAGGATTCAATTGTACATGTGTTGATATTGCATTCAGATTTTCTATCGTTAATGTTCAAATACAGGTATGGCTAATGGATTACATGTGCCCTGAAACATTTGTGGTTCAATTTGTGTTTATAAATCATACGATAACTATGGACATTAAGCTGTAAACTAAATAACGATGAACAATGGGAGAAATGCTATGTGTAAGGAAGAATATACTCACAAGCTTTGTTGTCAGTCTTCCTTTCCTGATGTCAAACTGGAGCTGGATGAGATCCATGATGTTGAGTGTCGTACTCGTGGTTTGTGGAGCAATGTCAGTAGGAAACTTTTCAGTCTGCAGTAAAACAAAAGTTAGTTCCAGGCAAGACACTTCCACACACAAATATTTCCTCTCCTTTAAAGAATACTGTTAGTTCCTCGAAACTCTAGCCATTGTAGAGGTGTCATACCATCTCTCGCAGAGCTGGGGGGGGGCAGTCTTATCAACTTATATCAGCGTGGGTACTACCAGTTTGGAATGTAGCGTCTTGGAGTGTGGTCAGGTGTATAGTACTTTGTGTTACTTGTTAGCTGGTCTCTGCAGGCAATGTTTTCCGCTTGGGGAGTAGCTCTGAACGTCACCATAGCAAGCGTACAGTTTCGCGTGCTTGACAACAGCGTTTACCTTTCCGCGCAGCTAAAGTTACGAGGCATTAACTATACAAGTGATTTTAATAAATTTTAATATCATCTATTTCGTTATCAGCTTGAAAATTTTGTATCACTCACCATATTAATGGGAAAGAAAATGAAAATGTACAAATGAACAAAATATTATTCCAATTAATAATGTGACGAAATATAACTTCTGTCATGTCAACTGACTGTTGTTCTGAAGGGGGATACCAACATTTTGGATGAATACATCGCTTCCTTCTTCAGGGTCAAAGGAAGTGTACTGAGGATGTGATAAAGTGGTCACTGACACCTACAGAGGGGGGAGAGAAGACAGAATCTGGTCTGGGCAAACATAAACTGTGAACAGGGGGGAAAAAAAACGAAACTAAACTCCATGGCCTGTAGTCCGCAAACAAACTATACCGACCAAGCGATAGTCTATTATCGGTGAAGTGGGTGCAAACTTTTGGAGATAGAGGGTGTCATGTAGTCAGCGTAATGGATTCCCATGGACGTTAATTTCGGTTTTCTAGACCGGAGCTGCTAGGTCCTTGAAATAGCTCCTCAATTATCCTCACAAGGCTGAGTGGACCCCATTACAGACCCACTACTTCTCAGGAAAACTGGTAGGAATTGAACACAGGACCTCTGGATCTGTAGCCAGGAACTCTGAGTACTAGACCACAGAGGCAGTCACTGTGAAGAGAATATGCGATACCCCTGACATTTATCATGACCCATATCCATGACAGGAGAGGAGATGGCACACAGTTATGCTGGAAAGTTTTTGTGCAACTTTTATTTTAAAGGATATATACTGCTATTTATTTGAATCACATCCTACTGAACAGGCTGATGTAGCAGTAATTCTCAAGACCAGTATGTGGGAGGGGCTTAGTTCAAATTAGAGATCTGACACTAGCCATCCTGACTGACATTCTTCAGGATTTTCCTCAGTTTCTCCATGCAAATACCAGGAAGTACTTCAACTAGGCTACAAGTCTTCCAAGTCCTTTCCAATTTTTCAATCATCCTATCATTGATGCTCTAGTCTAGATACTGCCAGTATTATGAAACAATGAACACCCACAGACCCACTATCCCTCTTCATATTGTTTAGTTCATTTGTCAAACATTATGAGACAGAAAATAAGTTTAAGTTTACCTTAATTTACTCACGTATATCAAAATAAAACATGCAAGCACAGAGTGACTGACAATTCATCTCACCGAGCATAAAGTTCTCTCCTAACTGTGGCAGTAAACTTGTTGGCAAGGCAGAGAGTAGCTGAGGCAGCAAACACAATGTTGTACAGGAGGACAATCTTGAAGTTGCCCAGCCACTCAATACGTCCAAAGTCACCAAGAAGGTCAAAATTTGTGATACCTGTTATTAGAACAAACTACAGCATAAGTTTTGAGATTTCCATGATGATGGTTCTTCAGATTCTGAGATTCAGAATTGAGAAACAGTGCAGACTTGTAGACAGATACCATCAATGTTCCAGAGGAACATGGTGCATCCATCTTCAGGCACTTTCAGTATCTACACTGTGGGGTCGTTACTAATGTTCACCACACACGCTTGCTATTTGCCTATTCTCACTGATTCGCCCTCATTGTTCGTTCCACCGCGAGTGTGCCAGCAGATTCTTGCTCCTCTGTAGTAGGCGGAGTCTTATGGCCGTTCAGCTGGCCTGTCTGGACAGTGATGCAGCGCTGCGCGCACTGGTAGAAATGGCTGCCTCGGCTGGTTGCTGGAGACTTGCGGCTACTACGTCAGTTGCCTGGTCACTGTGAAGAGCTGATGCCTCTGTCTGGGCTGCTGTCTCGGGATGAACTGAGTGTGTCGACTGATGATTGCGAGCTTGGGGCTCCGCCTTTTATACCATGCTTGATGGAGGAGCAAAACTTGCAGTTGTGATTGTGAGCGCTGGTTGGCTAACGCATGTAATGACCTGAATGTGGGCTAGACAGCGAGTGCTGTGTAAATGTGAGCGTTAGAAGCACTGTGATTGGTTAGCGCGCGTGATGGTGAAAAGTGAGCTGGACAGCAGGTGCTGTATAAATATGAGAGCTGACAGCAATGTGCTATTGACTTAGTATGTGTGATGTTCCCACAGCACACTGCTATTCTGAAGATGGATGCAGGAAGTGCCTCTGAAATATCTGTATCTGCCTATAAGACTACATCATGGCTCAAACCTGAGCATCAAAATCTTAATGAACTTCAGTGTCATTATTCAATTATACATACACCTTTAATAACACAACAATATTTAAAATAAATGACACCTAAAACATGTTCTTCATTAAAAGTGTAGTTTTAATACTTTAAAATGTTATAAAATGTCATTAAGACACTGCATGTATAATCATATACACTAAAAGTGACTATTAAATACTTTAGAATGTCTTTAATTTATATCATATATTCTTCTAATTCGCAACTTGTTTTGGCCGCACATGGGCCATCATCAGGCAAACTTTTCATTGGTGAGGAGACCACCCTACTGTCCGCTTGTCTTCCGTGCTCTCCGGCATGTCACTGTTTTGTTGCTGTGTCACATATCTAGAACTGTGTCGTCCTATTGTTTTTTGCAGCTATCACAGTTTTGTATGTTCTTTTCTCCGTATGTGTGTCTTTAGTGTGGTCTTCTCATGTCACACCTTTTACCGGAAATGAATGCACACTTCATGCACACCTTTGGAATATCTGGTAATGTAATGACATGCATTACTTAAGTATTTAGATGACAGTGTTACTCTATGTTTTGAAAAACACATTAGCTCGCTTTCTAACGTTCAGTTTTAGCCGCATAATTGCATCATACGATGTGTTAGCTGACATTTAACTTTAGATAAGTGTGATAGTATGTATACTTGTTGAAAGCAACAAAGCATGGTACTATACACATGAATTCTTATAAATAACCTTTGAACAGAGGTCTGAAGAACACTGCAACTATTGCAGACAAGGTCTGATTAAGGAAATCAAGATAAAGTTAACACTTATGATAACTGCATTTCATAGGGATCCAGCTGAGATAAACATGTTGTCATGTACTGGACATCCACAACTGTTTCATTTCAATCTATCGCTTCACTCATTATTACAGTGCAGTCTGGATCAGATTTTAAGGTATTCTCATTTGTCTGGTTCGGGTATGCATACCTTATTGTAATTAACTCTTTGTTCTTTTTAAACTGTTTAAAGCAATGACCGGAATAACATACAGTGTTGCAACACCAATAAAATCAACAACAAAGCATAACAAATAACAAGGATGCCCATGAAAATATTAATTCACTTCTTATTTATTTACATGCAAACTTCACGGCTCAAAAGCCAAGTATAAAGTGAGCATGAGTATAGAAAAAGAAACAAAATACAAGATTAAGGCAATTTACATTATTTGAATGATAATTAGCTGACTAATTTGTCATTTAATCTTAATTCACACCCAACACTGGTCATGACATAAGTATATCATAACTAAAATAAACATAATGTGGGCTTGTGAAGAATGCTGTCTTGCTAATTTAAATGAGTGTAGTTGGTTGAGGCACTATGCTACAAGCCGGAAGGTTGCAGGCTCAAGTCCCGATGAGGTCATTGGATTTTTTCAATTGACCTAATCCTTCCGGCCGCACTATGGCCCTGGGGTCGACTCAGCCTCTAACAGAAATGAGTACCAGGAATTAATTAAATAATTTTCCTGGTGTGTAAAGCGCAGCCGGCACGTAAGGCTGACAATCTTACCGCCATCTTTGAGCCAACTGTCTACAAAATGTGGGAGCCTCATCGTCTCACAACCCTATGGACCTTCACAGCCTGTTACAGGGATACCTTTACTTTTTAGATACTTGTGATGTTTAGGCTGCTAGTGGTCAATAGCTATAAAACTATACAGATTTTGCTGCTGAGCGTCCACTCTTGTTCACTCATGCTGATCTGTTACACTTGGGGTTTAAAAAAATAATGTACTACCTTACTACAATACTTCTTCCGTCTATTGAGTAACTTGGGGGGCATGTGATAGCATAGATGGTTGAGGGGCTATGCTACAAGCTGGAAAGTCACAGGTCTAAGTCCCAATGAGGTGGATTTTTTTCAATATACCTAATCCTTCCAGCCGCACTATGGCCCTGGGTCAACACAGCCACTAACATAAATGAGTACCAGGAATCTTCCTAGGGGTAAATGTGTGGCCAGCGCATAAAGCTCACAACCTTACCGCCATCTGTGAGCCAGCTGTCTAGAGAAAATGTAGAAGCCTCAACGTCTCACAACCCTATTATACTTCACAGGCTGTTACAGGAATAGCTTTTACACTTTTTTTTTACTTGAGTAACTCAGTTTTAGTGTTAACACATTCTCACCTAGAATGCGTGAAAGCAGAGGCAATGCTGAGCTTAATATCAATACAAGGCCGCAATTTGCTATGATGTGAGTCAGCGAGGTCATTTTGGTCCTTGGCCTCATTCTTGATAGGACCGGTAAAGTATAAAGTCCAACAGATGATGTGGCAATCAGGTAGAATATCAACGCTATCTCCAGTGCTGCACCCACCGGACCCAGTTTGGACAGAGAACTAATACCTAATGTGAATTGCTGCAACAAGCAAATTAATTACAGAATATGAAATTTCAATAAGCAACCATTTAAATGTTTCCTGTGCAATCAATTGAGACAGATGTTCGGGGAAAAGAATGGAAGTTGATAGGAGGATGTGATGGTGTAGGGATGGGCTGTCGAACTTCATGCGACTGAGGACATGAATTGTGCCCTAGGTACCTAACTGCAGGCACCCTGAAAATAATACATTTTCTGACATAACAGCACCGCTTCTAATTTGAGTGGTGAGGCAAGACAACCAAGCACAGCATGTAAAAAGGCCACTAAAGAGTGTCTCCAGGTCAATCATGATTAAAAATCAGGCACTAAAGGCTTGCTAGATTGGACTGATAATGTATCAAATCATGCAGTCATTCTAATTCTATACTCTTATAAGTTATATGTTATGCATCACAGGAAATCAACTGAAATCTTACAGGCATGTCTCATACAGCTCTTTAACAAGACTTCCACTTTTTTTTTCCAAGAGAAAAAAAAAAAAACAATATATATTTTTGGCAAAGTAAGGGATTGCTTAAATCCTGCACAAAACCAACTGGCAGGAAACACATATCCCACATATTCCAAGTCTCACAGCCCTGATCTAAACCACAGGCAAGTTTGAAGAGACTATGGGATGGAAATTGCATAAATATTGCTATAGCTCAATATGTGTTGATGTTATTTGACTGAATATACTTAAATCTCTGCATGCCATGAACCAGTATGATTAGCACAGAGTACTTTCAATACAACCAATAAGAGAAGGGCTATCAATTAGCATAGCATTTCTGTCAATAGACGGCAACAAGTGTGACATACTAATGTTTACAGAAAGGAACTATCTTTCATATTAAATATTTATGTTGTAGTTTGCAGGCAATTTGAGAAAAATGTTTCTGTGGACAACTGCATTTACCACCAAGCATGATTGGTATATGAAGCAGATAATTTTATGGAGAAGGTAACAGGGTTAATAGACACATCAAATGATCTAAACATAACGATATTAACAATTAATTAAAAAACACACTGAAAATTGTTACTGCTTTTGTCACAAAGAAGTGAAATTGAATCTGGTGTACCGTTACCATCTTTTCACACCTGTACATATAGTAAATGAAAACAGTAAGTGTGTGTATGTAAATTTAATAATAATTGACTTACCCTTGTACTAAGTGGAAGTGCTTTTATTCCTATGAGCAACTCCAGTGTATTCTGGAGTACCATAAGCACTGTGACTGCTGTCATTGCACACAGCAACAGCATGGCCACAGGATACATCAGGTTTCTCTGTAGTGATGAGGTATGTCTTTGTTTGTCTGAAAATAAGCGAGTTGATCAATGCATTACAAGATATTAAACTCCTGGAGCCTAATGTTGAGCATAACTCACTGTAGTGGCAAAGTGCCACAATACACAACTTCAACGCAGATTCAATGTCAATTTCAAATCACTAAGAAAAGTAGTTACAAGTATATTAACACTTTGCGGACCGGCAATTTAAATATTTAAATCACCCTGTGGACCAGCATTTTTAAACCTAGTACCCTAACTTGTGCACTGTTCACTTTAAAAATTAATACAAAATCTCTTCTCCTAGAAGTGCTTGGAAGTGTGATATTTCTGGAAACATTCCCCTTTGTGAAGTGGCATTACACAGAACTTACAAATGTAGACAGTCATACTGCTTTTTTTGTGAACTGTACAAACATGGCATTGCCTAGAACAGGGGTCTCCAAAATTTTTGAACCGCGGGCCACATTGAGTAATTCAGCACTTTCAACGGGCCTGATAAAATGAAAAATTAATAACTCTAGGTATATGAGTTTTATTGAAAGCACAGAATTTCATAAACTAAATACAAAGTACGTGAGAATAAATTATTGTATATTAATGACAACAGACAGTTGCAGCAAATGCTCATATTTTCATCACAAATTATAATAAAACAATTAATGTGAACGATGGAACTCTTTTGCATTCTTAAAATCTGATTAAATTGAGGTTCAAATTTTGAAACGCTAATCACAAGTAGCGACTTTAAATGTTCATCGGATAAATTTGCCCTGTATTTCGACTTGATGTACTTCATCTGGGAAAAAGTTTGTTCACACGGATATGTCATCCCAAAAATGGAGATAAATTTACAAGCACATTTCTTTAAATTTGGAAATTGCTCAGAGTTCAGAAAGTTATAAAATTTGATCAAATTTCCTTCCTTGTATTTGTCTTTAATATGATAATTTTCATGAAGTTCAATAATTTCCACTTGAATTTGACTTGGGACATCTGCTGCATCACAGTCAAATGGATTTTGAAACAATCTAATTTCTTGAGCACCGGAATCCAAATCAGCAAATCACTTCTGAAATTGTTCTTTCATATCTGAAATGACTAAATTTGCAAAAGAGGAAGGAAATTCTGCTTCACCCTTTTTATGCAACTCTTCACAGTATAGCACATGAACAAAGTTACAATTTTTCACTTGGCTTTCCAGAAGTATCAACTTTGCTCTGAATTCCTTGATAAGTTCAAATAAATCACAGACTAAGTTATTTTCACCCTGCAACTTTAAATTCAAATTGTTCATATGGTTCACCAGATCGGCAAAAAATGCTAATTTCCAAAGCCACTCGGTATCTGATAAAAGTGGTTCGTGATGGTTTTTCTCGGTAAGAAATATATCAATTTCATTCCTGAGCTGAAAGAAGTGTGAAAGAACCTTTCCAAAGCTAAGCCATCAAACTGCAGTATAATATGTCAGGTCAATAAGCTCTGAATCACATTTACCAGTACTCATTGAAAAATTAGTTCAATTGGCGCATTTCTGCACAATTCTTTCGCGGGCCGGATGTGGCCCGTGGGCCGTAGTTTGGAGACCCTTGGCCTAGAAGGATGCTTCCCCTTGGAATGTTCACTCTTCACAATTTTCACGAGGGTATGTTTCCGCATATCACCCTAGAGTCGCCCTGGGGGATCCACATGAGGCCTGCGTGGGGTGGGAGTTGATGGGCCCGATCGCACTAAGTCTGTGTCTGACTCTGGTTCTGCCGCCACCATCTGGTCTGTAGCCCAGACCTTTGCCACATTCACCAGAAATGCTCTGTATTTCAATTTGGAATCAGGGTTTAGATTTTTGTAAACCAAAAATGAACTGAAAATGGTACAATTTATAAGCCACAAGGCAACTTTCTTTGTCCACTTTACTGTTTTCTGAGGAAGAGAATAATAGGCCAAGTACTAATCGGTTCTCCCTTCATGACCATATTATACTCGGAAATACAAACAGGCTTCTTTACCTGCCCATGTCTCCTTTGAACATCAACCATGGTCGAACTGTGAATTGTGGAAATCACATTCACAACACGAGTATCCCGGGGGAAATCACATTCACAACACGAGTATCCCTCCAGGACTGAAGAAGAATATCCCCCTTCCTCCTGAATGTGGTTTCACCACGTTTCAGGGATTTACATTCCTCTTTCAGATCTGGAGGAAGGCCTCTGTTCACCCTAACTGTTCCACAAACACATACTTTTCTCGAAAGAAGGTATTCTGCAGTTACCACACTGTAATAATAATTGTCTTGATAGACAAGGTAATTTTGATCAAGATAGGGTTCCAAAATGGAAAGAATAGTTTCTTGTAATTTCTTTGCTTCACCAGAATAAAATTCTAAATTTCCAATATAGCCTGAAGTGCTTTCAGTAACTACACGAACAAGTAGGCTATACTTTCTTGTTCTCCGAGAGATCACTTGGTCTTCAACCGCTTCCGTCCTTGATCCATATTGCACTACTAACTTACTGCCTGGTACATACAGCTTGAAGATGAACAAAGACATTTTCCTTTGGAGTGGGACAGGAAAACAGCGAGGTCATGTTACTGACTATTAAGCAAACATTTGGGAGGTCTATTACGCACCAGTTATGCATCTGCATGGCACCAGAGCAAGGTATAGTGTGTTGCAACATAACGTGTCCTAAAATCATAATACATGGTACTATAAATGATTCATTCATTTTTAAAACGCTATATTTTCCAAAGCATTATATGTACAAAAATGATTGATATATAAAAAGAACCGTAAACTCACCACGTTTTCTTCAAACTCTACAAATGTTCTGTGTGCCCCTTGGGTCACACGACACACGTCCACGCGGTAGTCGAGCTCGTTCCACACATTTTGTAGCATCATCCTGTCAATGGTCATCACTGCAGCATCGATGCATTCCCTCAGCTCTACTAGTGGGGGTACATAAACATGATCCTTAACGTACCCCCAAAGGAAGAAGTCACAAGGCGTTAGATCAGGTGATCTGGGGGGCCAAGTGAACAGAGCTATGTCATCCTCACCAACACCCCCAATCCAGCGATGCCGAAGTTCATTGTTTAGGTAGCGACGAACATTGCCGATACCACCACAAAATGCTTTGTTTAAATGGAGGTTCTTTTCCATACTCTCTTTTGAATGCGCGTTGCACTGCTATAACAGACGAACATCTCGCACATTCCAACAAAAAAAACAACTTTTCCTTGCTTTGTCACCATTTTGTAAAGGCACTGAATTCATGCTGCCAACTGGTGCATATAATACAAACTTGGTGAGTTTACGGTTCTTTTCATATATAAATCATATTTGTATGTATAATACTTTGGAAAATATAGCGTTTTAAAAACGAATCAATCATTTATAGTAGCCCTGTATTATGTGACCGGTCCGCCACGTTTAAAAGCGAAAAGCATAATATTATGCGACTAGTCCGCAAAGAGTTAAGTCAAGCGAAGCATCAATCACAGTCTTGGTCCATTTCGAAACTCTGAATAAAATCCATGTTTTGCATAAGATAATGAGAAATCTTACACTGTTGTATCAGTTGTTTATGAGCCCTGAAAACCACAGCATTTGTCCTATATATAATTTTCTGGTCCAGCACTGTGGTCAAAGAAGGGTTGATGGGGCTCCTCAAGTGTACCAAGAATCTCTGAATGTAAATTGCACATCCAAACAACAATATAATACAGAAATGGATAGGTCTCAATTAGCAGTAACTTTAACATCATATTGTGCTGATGAGAAGACCTTTCTGGTCAGACCTTAAGATGACTGAATAATTCAGCTGAAGAATTTTTCATGGAGATAAATATAGGTGGGGACACACAATGAATTAGTTTCTTTATTGTTAGTGGGGTGCGACTACATCCCTTGTACTGCTGCCACTTCTGGCCTATTGTACCAGCCCCAGATGATGGGTGAGGGTGATTGTGGAGCAATTGGTGGAATGAAGATTGGCAGAGGAAACCGAAGTATTTGGAGAAAACCTGCGCCAGCACCACTTTGTCCACCACAAATCCCACTTGACTGGACCCGGGATCAAACCCGGGCCGCCGTGGTGGGAAGCCAGTGATTAACCGCTTGAGCTATGGCACGGCCATGAATTACAGTTTACAGCTACCCATAAAATTACATTGAAAGCCATTCTGTGGTTTTAACCTTTATGCTCCAGGAGTAGGGGATATAAATAACCTACTACTACAGCACTGGTGGTTCCATAACAAGATTTAAATGGTAAACAATGGGGCACTAGGCCTGCTGGCCTGCACAAATGCCATTAGAGTGGTGTGATGAACAGGCAATGAAAATTAAAAGGTCAAACATGCCAACAAATGTAAGCATTAGGTGCTGAACGCAAATATTTGTTTTATAGTAAGTAAAAGTAAAGCCATCCCTGTACCAGGCCCTGAAGGCCCATAGGGTTGAGACATTGAGGGTCCCACATTATCTAGACAATCAGCTCAACGATGGCGGTAAGGTTGTCAGCCTTACGTGCCGGCCGCGCTTTACTCCCCAGGAAAATTATTTAATTAATTCCTGGTACTCATTTCTGTTAGAGGCTGAGTAAACCCCAGGGCCTAGCGTAGCTGGAAGGATTAGGTCAACTGAAACAAATCCGATGACCTCATCGGGATTTGAACCCGCAAACTTCCAGCTAGAATGATAATTATTTACATCCAGTTTAATGACACGAGATGGACAAGGCATGTAGCATGCATGGGGAGAGAAGAATGCACACAGGGTTTTGGCGGGAAAGCCAAACAGAAAGGGACCACTCAAAGAACTAGATGTGGGTGGGAGGATAATATACTTGGTCGTCAACTTATGACCGGCCGCACTTATGACCACAAAAAATGAAAAATAAAAGATGATTAAAATGTAAAAGTTTTTAAAAATAAATTATAAAGATGATAAAAAGATTAGGAATGTTAAATAATACTGTTAATAAATATATGGCTGACATACGACCAGATCGACTTATGACCTGTCAGTCAGAACGGAAGTCGGTCGTAAGTCGATGACCAAGTGTACTAAGATGGATCTTAGAGATATAGGATGGGGTGGTATGGACTGGACTGATTTGGCTCAGGATAGGGACCAGCACTTCTGAACATGGTAGTGAACCTCTGGTAAAGGTAAAGTTGTCTCTGTGCTTAACTAATTAAGCACTACACCACGAAGGTGTACAGAGAAGTGGACGTATAGATTTATATTTTCTAATAAACCTCTGAGTTCCATAAAATGTTAGGACATTCTTAAGAAGCTGGGCACCTGGCAGCTTTTCAAGCGACTCAATTAGTTAATGATGTTGTCACTAAGTCAGAATACATAACATCAAGTCATCAGTGAATAATGAATTGATAAAGATGTGGAAAGAAGCAATTGTAACCTAATTTAAGGTACCATCCCAGTATTTGCATGTAGGGACTGAGGAAAATGATTAAAACCTCAGGCAGGTTATTTGGTGCCACAGCCAAGAGTCACTCTGGGAACCTTCTGTGTACAGGTTAGAACCAATACTGACTGAGGCACCTGTCCAGGGGAATGTGAAATGATAAAAGGAAGGGACTGTCCTGATGAGATCAATATAAGCCTCTCCAAAGCGAACTCCACATCAGAAGTACCTAGAACTTTCCTCCTTGACTGGATTTCACTGAGTCTTTCCCCAAGACCAGACTGAAGAGCTCCATTTTGGAGCGTCATAAGGCCATTGGAAGGGTTCTCCATAACATCATCTTCACAGCCTGGGTGAATAGGAAGACGACACATGGGTGCAGGCGACACGTATGACTTGCTGGTAGCTCTTGCCTGAGAGAGTCGTCTCCTTACACAATCTTCCTCTAGTCGAGCGACAAGGAACTCTTCGTTTAGGTCACGAAGAAACTGAGGCTTCACTAGAAACTGTCCAACCACACCAAACAAACGCACAAACCCCAAAGGTGTACACACTGAAAAACACAAAATAATGGTTACAAATACAAGTGTGATCGCTAGTAGTACAACATGATTTCTGACAGTCAACCCTCTAAAGTACAGAGATTTTAACTTTACTTTAACACAAAGAAGATTAGCAATTTGTTAACAGGGTGCATGCATTTCATATCAGTCGCAGATAAGCAGTGATTATTTCACTAAAAACACTTGTCTTTATATTGAAAATGTAGCATCCTCTGTCAGGTAGGGACTGAATTTTTAAACATAACTCCAATAGACTTTAGGGGCATGTGGTAGCATAGCTGGTTGAGGCACTAGCTGGAACGTTGCATGTTTGATTTCTGATGAGGTCAACGGATTTTTCAGTTGACCTAATTCTTCCAGCCGTATTATGGCCCTGGGGTCGACTCAGCATCTACTGTAAATGGGCATTACAAATCTTCCTGGGGGTTAAGGGTAGATGTTGTGTAGAGCTGACAACCTCACTGCCATCTGTGAGCTGACTTTCTAGAAAATGTGGAAGCCTCAATGTCTGATAACCCTATTAGCCCAGATTTTGATGACCTGAAAATATTTAAAAAATGACCAAAAAAATCCAGAAAAATGACCTAAAATATGACTCAAAAATGTAATATGCAGGGCCCGGATTTTGATGACCTGAAAATATTAAAAAAGTGACCGAAAAATCCAGAAAAATGACCTAAAGGAGAGCAGAAAGAACACTTCGCTTCCATGTTATTCACATTTCAGAAAACATATGAAGAAAAATTCCCTAAAATGGCCAAAAATGACAAGAAATATCCTTAAATGTCCAAAAATTTACCAAAAAATTACTCCCAAAATGGAAAAAAAGACCTTAAACCTAAAAATGTCAAAAAATTACCTATAAAATTTACATTTCTGTAACCAGCAGCTCATATCCGAGATTTATATTTTTAAGAGCATTGCATAGGATGACATGTCATCAAAATCCGGGCCCTGCTGATAACCTTACAGGCCTCCACAGCCTCTTATAGGGATAGCTTACTTTTTACTCAGATAAATTTTTGGCTTCAATGAGTGAATAGAATTCCATTATAAATCACATGTATCTTAATATGTATACTTTTGAATCAATCTTAACTTTAGATTGCATAGGAGCAGCAGAGGGCTACTGTGAAAATGGTAACCCCCAGGTTCCATGAAATGTTGGGAAATTCTACAGTAGCTGAGTGACTAGCAGCTTCAAAAGGAAGACTTCAACTCCATGGTGTTAATTGGTTATTTGTGTATGTATTTGACCTAAAGGATTTGGGAAGACGTAACCAATTGCCTGCTTTTGGAGTTGATAATGATATTTCAAATCCAAATTCCTTTAAAAGTGACAACAATTAACAATCTGTATTGAAATGTGGATAGGATTAATGTGAATTTACCTATCTGAAATCATAATTTCTTTTTTAAGTTCACTAAATTGGTCAAGCACGTAAGCATCAGATGATAAGATGATTATTAAAAGTGAAGCAGTTGACAGAGTGAGAATTTGCAAAGTACTCGAAGAAAATCTGTCCCCAGTGCTAATCTGTCCACCACAAATCCCACATAACATGACCTGGGATCAAACACGGATCTCAGGGGCACAAAGCCAGTGACTAACCGCATGAGCCATGCCATGGCCTCAATCACAAGTAAGTAACTTCTTACTACAGAGCATTCATTAGATAACCAATACAACTCAACTATTCAATAAACCGTCTACTGTTAACGAACATGAACATTCATCACTGTCATCACAAAAGGTCAATAATGAATCCTATCTTAAGGCAATTCATATCATCATACTATGTATCCATCTACTCTGGAAAAATGTTGATTCATCATCAGAGAGTAACATTCAATTCAACAAAGACTGTTATGTATCTATTATAAAATTACTGGATTCTATTTTAACATACTCCTGGTATTCATATACCAGTGAGAAATCTAAACATGCATATATAGGACTTTCCTTCCATAAGGGCACCAACACAAGGTAAAATGTATTCGGGTTCACGGAACAGATGAAGTATAACCCATTTTAACCATTTCTATGCCAAGCTAGTTTGGCTAATTTTAAAAAGAAGTGTCAAAGAATATATATATATATATCCATAACCTAACCTAATCTAACATATCACAGAACATATACACAGGTCCACAGTACAGAAAGGTTTAATACCAACGTACCATATACATCCAAGACTCCTAGGTGATCATTTCTGAACATCTTTTTTGGTCTCATCTGCCCTGTTCAGTGAGTTACAAGCCCTCTGATTTGACAATAAAATACTAGGAAAATAATCACTCAAATTTCCCATTATATGATTTTATACGTCCTCTTAATACTCAACATATTCATACATTTAAAATTATGGTACAATCTCATGTTACTTACATAACAGCATAAGAACACCAATAAATGAGATGCATGAATACAGGAAGGGTAAATAGTAACTCCACAAGTCTGCAACATAAAACATACAAATTGCAGAAAACACACATTGGAATTAAAAGCAAAGCAAAATCACCACTACACTGAAGGCATTAGACAACTTACTGAGCAACCTGTATATGTTCGACTGTTCCTTGTCAATAAGGGCAGACATCACATATGTCATTCCGAGTAACACGACTGCCAGAAGGCACAGAACTACGAATGTTTCATACACTCGTGCCATCAAACCCTGAAAAGTAATGCAGAAAATTTTCATGATTACTGTCTTCTGGGATGGGCAACAGTGCTGTCTCGTAAAATTAGTGACATTACGGACGGCTGAACTGCTGAAGACAGTGGCAGTATGTTCTCAAATTTTGGAAGAAATTCTTTATCAGAGAACACGGCATTACATCATACAAGATAGCAATCTTCACAGTCACTGCCATGACAACATTCAATCTGAAAAGAAGTCTTCCCATCACTCTAACTAACGATGCTTCATCACACAACACACACTTAGCCATTCTGCTATTTTCCAATAGAAATTTGGCTGTTTTTTCCTTGTGATTGGAAGAAGTATGAAAATGTGATTTCTGCTAGTTTTCACATAGTTCTTCCACTTCATGACATCAATGCAAGAAACAAAGCAAGCATAACATTCCGTATCCTTTAAGATTTTAATATTAGACCTTCAAAAACTTTATCATTCAGCAAAAATCTCAGATACTCAAGCAAGATATCTCATCTGAAACACTCAAAGATACTCAAGCAAGATATCTCATCTGAAACACTCAAAGATAGAAACAATGAATGAGATATCTAAACATAATCAATTAAAGGACTGAGTAAATGTAATTTTAGGTTAGAATATCAATACAAGTGGGTTGCTCAAATGATCTGCATGTTCATTTGCAGTCAACAGAGCAGTGACTCCAGCAGCAGCAGCCCAAGAAATTCTTTACTGAGCAGAACCATTGGACCTCATATAAAGGTGCAAAACTATTTAATTCACTGCTCTTATATCCGTACATGTACACAGTAAAGCAGTCAATGTAATGAAATTCAATTTTATGAATGCCAAAAATTCCCACGTCTGAAACAGACTACTCCACAAGATGCAGATCTTGTGGGATAAGAAATACAAAAGGAGTTCTGCTTTCTTGACATGCTGAAGATAATGAGATGACAGTAGTAAGATTTTTTCAGAAATGGGGAAATATCTGTATTTAAATGCAGAACATGTAAACCAAGAAATTACGAAGGACTTCATTGTATAATTGTAACAGCCTAACTGAAACTCAGTGAGGATGGTGTTAAAACACAAGGAAACAGCGCCTGACATTCAGGTAACTGAAAAAAAGAACAAATCCTGAGCTAAGAAATACAGAAAGTGAAAAGGACAAAATATCAACATTTCTGTCACTTCACTTTCTGTCATTCATTTTAAAACGAATGAAGAGAACTTATAAACATTTTTGGAAATTACATGCAGAATAAGGGATCAAAATAGTTTACATGTTGCAACTGTAATATTTCTCACCTTGCGATAGCCTGTGAAACCTTCAGATTCTGTGAAAAGGTAAGCAAACGGCAGCAGGACGAAAAGAGAGAGATTGGAGAAGAGAAACACGTGATTCCACAGACCTAGAAACAGCATACAACTCTGTAAGTTAGGGAACAATTCTTACTGTTCACTGGAATACAGAATATTATAATCATTTCCACACTACATTTATTTTATTCAAAGGAAACACAATTGTAAATAATAATTCAAGGACTAAGAAAAAGAAAAGAATTAACAAATTCCTCTATTAAAACATACGAAATATCCACACCATGACGAGGGGGCCCATGGTAGTGAAGCTGGTTGAGGCACTAAGCTACGAGTCGAAGCTCACAGGTTCGATTCCAGATGAGGTCATTAGAGTTTTCAATTGACCTAATCGTTCCAGCTGCACTATGGCCCAGGGATTGACTCAGCCTCTAACAGAAATGAGTACTAGGAATCTTCCTGGAGGTAAAGGTGTGGCCGGCGCGTAAGACTGCAACATCACCGCCATCTGTGAGTTGACTGTCTAAAAAATGTGGGAGACTTGATGTCTCACAACCCTACAAGCCTCTACAGCCTGTTACAAGGATAGCTTTATATTTTACCTTTATCACAACATGAAGACATATTACAAATGTATGAAACAATTTATATAAATAACTCCTGCTCTCTGCTTTCAGACACTTTACTCCACACAGATAAAATGTTGTCTGTGTGCTTAACTAGGCACCATGTTATGAGGGCTTACAGACACTAGAGGAACAGCTAATTCCATGCATTCTTAACCTCAGCAACAGATGAGGATGAACAGTCAGCTCCGTGTCACGATCACTTTACATCCAAGGAAACAGCTCCTGCTGTTCATGGATAGGAGGTGGGCTAGGCACCACAAATAATATTGATGCTGTGGAGAAGAGAAAAATCTCCCATCCTGATGGTAATTAAGCTTTGGTTCTTTGGTTGTTTAGCCTGTAACTGCAAAGCCATACCTACTGAGACACCATGGCTCCCCATACAGAGATAAGGGAATCAAATGTTTATAAGTAACATCACCAGTAAAAGTAAACAAAAGTAAAGTAAAGGTATCCCTCTAACAGGCCGTGGAGGCCTATAGGGTTGTGAGACATTGAGGCTCCCACATTTTCTAGACAATCAGCTCACAGATGGCGGTAAGGCTGTCAGCTTTATGCACCAGGCACCCTTTACCCCCAAGGATATTCCCAGTACTCCTTTCTGTTAGAGGCTGAGTCGACCCCAGGGTCATAGTGCTGCTGGAAGGATTGTCAATTGATAAATCCACCTCATCAGGATTCGATCCCACAACCTTCCAGCTTGTAGCATAGTGACTCAACCAACTACTCTACCACATACCCAAAACATCACCAGTACATATCTTTATGATGGACAGTAATGTTAGACGTTAATAATGGCGCTCTGCAACTAGAGTGTCTCACAAAGAAACTGTACCTTGTATGAGTGAACTGTTGAGCCATTTCACATAGTAGCTGTTGGGGTAGTAGAGAAGGATCTCATTGCTCAATATGGAGATAGGGAGCAGCAGTGCAGAACCCACTGACACGGCCAGTGAGAATGTACAAAGCCACAGACTGAAACAAATAATTCAGATAGAAAGCTTGAAAATTTGATTTAATGGCTTTATATACAAACAGTTTTCTGTATGTGTGTGAAACTTGGTCTTTGACATCAAGGGAGCAACATAGACTGACTGTGTTGAGGAGAATATCTGGACTAAAGAGAAATAAAGTGACAGGAGGTTGGAGAAAACTGCATAATGAGTAGCACGTATGGGGGAGAAGAGGAATGCATACAGGATATTGGTGGGAAAGCCAGAAGGAAAGAGACCACTGGGAAGACCAAGGTGTAGGTGGGTGGACAATATTAAAATGGATCTTAGAGAGATAGTATGGGATGGTATGGATTCGATTGATCTGACCCAGGATAGGGACCAGTGGAGGGCTCTTGTGAACACGGTAATGAACCTTAGGGTTCCATAAAACGCTAGGAAGTTCTTGAATAGCTGCAGAACTGGCAGCTCCTCAAGAAGGGCTCAGCTCCATGAACAGTAAGTAAGTAAGTAAGTAAGTAAGTATATAAAAGTAGTTTACAGTAAAAGTCATGAAGTTTTGTGGTTATTTTTTATTGTCTCACAGAATGAATGGTACATATACAGAGGCCGAAGAAAGAGGAACCATACAGTGACCACCTCCAGGTCTCCCTTAAGCCGTAAAGCTTCCCTCTCCAGCATGCGTCCTTCTATTCCTCATCCAGCAATTCTGTTCACATACTGATAGTCACAACCATACCATAACCTTTGTTATGGACAAGCACTTTGGACCAGTTGATACAGACAATTGCTGGTAGAAATTGGGAGGCATTGAATTCCACCATCCCCACTATTTCTGGAACTTCTTTCCATGGCCAGAGTATGCTGTGTACAATTTAGTTTTCCTCTGAAACATGTTTCACAGCTTTTGTAACTGTCAACAAAAGGTGCCAATAAATACGTGACATTCTTACTTAAAATATTATAGTTAAATGTTATACATTTTTATGAATTTTTGCATAAAGTGAATCAAATGATTTATAATGGGTAGGCTGTGTATACTGTGTACTTCTCACCTACAAGACTACTCCAATAACGTTTGGTACTGAAGTTGTACAATAAAAGGTGAGAGATGGGTTCCATTTTGATATTTGCTAGTTAAACATAACCTCTATTTTAAGCAATGCTGCAAAGACTGAGTGACTGACAGACACACAGGCAGATAGATAAGTAGCTAATTCTGGGTGATTAAATGTGAAATAAGCTTATTCAGTCATTTTCTAGCTCAGTCATTAATAGACATATTTATGGCATGATTACTCAGATGTCATTTCAAATCAAGCAAGTCATCTCTCAATTTCCAATTCTTTGTACATGGCCTTACTTCAGAGACTTCAAATAATCAAATCCTCAAGTTATATGGGGGGGGGCATTTATTTTCATCATGCTACTGTAAGCATTTTATACTAAAGCACCGTTTCCTATTTGCCCTGTAGAGTGATGAGGCTATATTCCAATTACCTGATCCTGTAAACTGTGACCTCATCTTCATCTGTAGAGAAATAATCTTCTCGGTCTTGTCTTCTAAACCTCCTAATGATTGCATAGCTCGACACATACAAAAGCAGCAGCAACAAGAGGAATATCTATAAAACAAAACAAAAACACATGGCAGCAAGCACACAGCAATTCTGAGCAACACTTCACATTTCAGATCAACAACCAAAACTTCAATATGATTGTATCAGACACATCACAGGGTCTTAAGTCTGGGAGGAGAAGGAGATTTGGGGGGGGGGTACATCTGAACTGAAAAAAAGGCAAACCTATCCCTGTAACAGGCCATGGAGGCTCATAGGGTTGTGAGACATTGAGGGTCCCACATTATCTAGACAATTGGCTCACAGATGGTGGTGAGGTCATCAGCCTTATGCGCTGGCCGCCCTTTACGCCCCAGAAAGATTCCTGGTATTCATTTCTGTTAGTGGCTGAGTTTACCCCAGGGTCATAGTGCAGCTGGAAGGATTAGGTCAATCCAATGATCTCATCGGGAATCAAACCCATAGCCTTCTAGCTTGTAGCATAGTGCCTCAACCAGCTATGCTACCACTCTACACAATGTATGACAGAAACTCCGTCCTAAGTGCAACAATTTATTGTAGTTCTTTTGTCTTCTTTTCTTCTATACTACATGTTTCGGCCGTAAATGGACGGCCATTATCAGGTGTATACTCTCACGTAGCTGTTACACTGCTACTGCTATTGTTACTGCTGTAACAGCTACGTGAGAGTATACACCTGATGATGGCCGTCCATTTACGGCCGAAACATGTAGTATAGAAAAAAAGAAGACAAAAGAACTACAATAAATTGTTGCACTTAGGACGGAGTTTCTGTCATACATTAAAACAAATTTCTTAGGAAATGGTATATTCCATCTGTATTAAAACTATACATCAGGCATTTTAGTGCTACCTCAGGGCTTCAGAAGACACTGATATGTAGCCGCGCGCCGACGTACATCTGCCACGACAGTCGCTCGAGCTTGAGTTCTTAATCTCTCGGATAGGGTGCTTTGGATATGGGAGTGGTACACACTTCGGGGTACAAGAATCCGGGGTCTCCAGAACACACCGTGTATTGCAGTCTTAATTTCAAATTTCATACAAAGATCAATCTTTACATTGTCCTCCGAGCTAGCCGCTCCGTCCATCCTACTCGCTACCCCTACTGCGCACTTCTCTGTTCTCTGCCTACATTTCAACAACCTTCTCCCCCGCCCCCAATAACCGATGAACCACTCTATACAAGTCCCCCAGTGGACATAAAAAAAAACAAGAAAAATAACAACAGGAAGCGAAGGGTCCAACCCGACATCTGTCCTACATTCGTAGTTTTCGAGATGCCCATCATAAACCTTTTTAGGTCTTCAAAGCACACGAGCAGTGAACCCAAGACCCCTCCTGGCCGGTCTCGCACAATGTCAATTCATGGGTTTATGACTCTAGGTGCAAACTGGCGACCTTAGGGACAATAGCGACACCCCTAAGCCTAAGGAAGACAATAGCTGAATTACAACTAGACGGTCCCGGGATGATATCTCGCCGGAGGAGCGTCTCCCAGGGCGTGAAACAATGCATAAATTCGTCATACCCTTAATTAAATAATTTTGGCGAGGGACGTACGGTTACAGATATCACCAAACTGGTAGGTCTAGCAGAGAGACTTATAGTCAGGAGTCAGTTGGTACAAAATATAAAAATATGAAGTTTTCAAAATAATAAAATTAAGGCCATGAACACACACCAGTTAAAAAAACACATTGCACTGAAAAATATACCAGATACAGAGGGACCCATACTTATGTTCCTTAATGTGAGGTTTTCTGTCTTTTAGCATTCAATTTTAATTATCCCAAATCAATCAAGATTTTCCTCAGCTTAGTATTCATATCCAAAGCTCCCAGAAAGTAACCTTAAATGGGCATGTCAACCTACACACAACGACAACAAACAAAAAGAAACCCTGTGGTTTTAGTCCGCAAGCGAACTATACCGACCTAGCGAAAGACGCTTGTAGGCGAAGTTAGTGCGAACTTTAGCGGACAGAGGGTGTCGCGTGGTTCCCCACGGCCATTAATTTCGGTTTTCTAGACCGGAGCCGCTATTTCCCTGAAACAGCTCCCCAATTATCTTCATGAGGCTGACACACACTGAAAACCCCCAATATCAAACCAAAGGAATACTAATTAGGCTAGAACCTGAAACCAGAAAAACGTCAGTAACTGATAAACTTATCAGAACAACTCTAAACACATGCACATAACGAGATAGGCAGGGCCAAGCTTGCTCTGCAGTGATAAGTCCACAAAATGGCAGGCCGCAAAGTACAACTACGTTTCTTTTTTCTGGCAGTACACAACATTAAGCATTACCAATAAAAGCTATCCCTGTAAGGGTCCGTGAAGGCCCAGAGGGTTGTGAGACGTCAAGGCTCCCACATTTTCTCTAGAAAATCGGCTCACAGATGGCGGTAAGTTTGTCAGCCTTAAGCGCAGGCCGCCCTTTACACCCCAGGAAGATTCCTGCCACTCATTTCTATTAAGAGGCTAAGACGACCCCAGGGCCGTCGTACTGATTACTGAAAGAAAATGTGGGAGCCTCGACGTCTCACAACCCTACTAGCTTTCAGGGCCTGTTACAGGTATAGCTCTACATTTTCTTTTATTGCTAGTGGGGTGGGACTAAGTCCCTTGTACTGCGGCCACTTCTGGCCTATTGTAACAGCCCCAGATGATACGTGATGGTGATTGTGGAGCAATTGGTGGAATGAAGACTGGCAGGGGAAACCGAAGTACTCGGAGAAAACCTGCCCCAGCGCCACTTTGTCCACCTCAAATCCCACTTGATCAGACCCGGGATCGAATCCAAGCCGCCGCGGTGGAAAGCCAGCGACTAACCGCTTGAGCTAAGGCGCGGCCTTACCTTCACCTTAAGTTCTATCATAACTCACTGCTTACATAATGCCTAGACTTGTAAGAAAACGTCCCATTTTTTTAAAAATCTCACTCATCTGCTTTCATTAGCCTAACAACAAACTGTTGCAACTCAATATAATCATGAATTAATTAAGGCCGCAGGCCACGAATAAATATTATATTCTGTTACACCTCCAGAATGAAACGTGCCAGATCTTCCTTCAAACAGTTCATGGAATTAATGGACTGCTGTAGGTAAATTCGTAGCATCTTTGTCTTCACGTTCGATTTACTACATTTCATATTTATCTCTCAATGCGTTAACAAAGTTACCATCTAAATAACACGAAAACAAATGCCACGTAAAGCAATTTGAGGGCGTAACTGTCCACTTTCTCCTCTACCGCATTTTACAGGAGGATCGCTCAGCATTGTTCTCCCACTCTAAGATTATTTTTAGACCTTCCCGCCCCCTCGAAGCCTATGTAAATAGTTCTTGAAATAGTTTCGGGTATAACCAGTACACAGGCGTTTAGAAGCCCCCCTCCCCCATTCGTCTATTTTTGGGATTACATCAACACACTTTCGTAATCTTAATCTTGATCCCCAGACAATTCCGCCTTTCTTAAAGCCTGACAAGGGCTATGAGTGGTTAATATACGGCAGGCAGAGGGAACGGGCACGAACGAAAGGAACACTCGTTAACGTTACCGCGGCTCTTACACAGGCCTTACACTGACCGCCTCTGTGGTCTAATGGCCAGAGTTCCTGGCTACGGATCCAGAGGTCCCAGATTTTCTGAGAAGTAGTGGGTCTGGAACGGGGTCCACTCAGCCCTGTGAGGATAACTGAGGAGCTATTTGAAGGAAATAGCGGCTCCGGTCTAGAGAAACCGAGATTAACGGCCGTGGGGATCCGTTGCACTGACCACGCGACACCCTCTACCCGCTAAAGTTGGCACTAACTTCGCCGACAAGCGGCGGTCGCTCGGTCGGTATAGTTCGCTTACGGACTACAAGCCACAGAGTTTGTTTGTTTTACACTCCCAGATCTTCCACACTTCAGTTCCCTGTCATCTCATACCACATTTGTGTAATAACATAGCGGGGACAGCTCAGTCGGTATAGTGGCCACACTACGGGCTAAAATAACGGAGAATCGGGAGGCGATTTCCGGCTGGAGCAGAACCTTACTGTTCGTTATCGTGTCCACAATAGTCTTCCACTAGTCTATGAGCCAGATCAATCCAGTCGATCCCACTTCTCTAAGATCAATTTTAATACTATCCACCCACCTATGTCTTGGTCTTCCCAGTGCTCTCTTTCCTTCTGGCTTTCCCATCAATATCCTATATACAATCCTTTTCGCCCATTCGTGCTACATGCCCTGCCCATCCCATACCCATTGATTTCATAATTCTAATTATACTTGCAGAAGAGTGAAACAAAAAAATACAGTTTTATCGGTTTCGTTTACACTCCAGTACCTGACATGACCGCGTGGGTACAGTGGGTGACTTCAAGCCGGTGTGTGTGTGTGTGTGTGGGGGGGGGGGTTCCATAAACAAAAAAAAGGGACAGGAGGGTGTATACTGGTTTCTGTGAGTGAGCCATGAGCTCCACTACCGTTGTGGAACAAGGGTACAGAGACCTCAAAAGCTCCCCTTCGCTGGTACCACAAAAGAAATGCAAAAGTTAGACGTTACATTATAACGGGTGACTTCTCAAGAAGGGGGTTCAATGTTTAGCGTGAGTGAAAGAAGAAAACGCAGCTGTGATCTCCCCATATGGCTCCACCCCATGACGTAACGAGTCTACTTGTCCCAATGCACTGCTATCTATATTCCAACATGGAAGTTCCCATACACAAAAGCAAGTAGAAACCTATAGGAAACTAGTTAAAACGTAAAGTTATCCCTGTAACAGGACGTGAAGGCCCACAGGGCTGTGAGACGTTCAGGCTCCCACATTATCCAGACAATCGGCTAAAAAATTGCGTTAAGGTTGTCAGCCTTACGCGCCGGCCGCGCTTTAGGAAACTAGTTATGGCAAATATTGCATAGTAATAAAGAAATTCATCCTCGAGGACTACCGCCTTTTCGTATAGAGGAGGCCTACGCGTCACAATGACTGGAGAGCTACGCTGGCGGGGGCGTAACCTCCTGGTATA